TAATTGAAAGTTTGGTGGTTTGAATCTATCAGCTGCTCTGCAGTTGAAAAGATGAGGCAATCTGTTTTATATAAAAAAAATTACATTACTGGAAACCCTATGGGAAGTTATGTTCTAAACTGTTATTATGAGTTAAAACAACTTGACAGCAGTGGGCTTCACTGGGCGGATGGACTAACTCTAGGCCATTTGATAGTATCACTGTCATTCTTTCATGGAGACTAGAGGAATCAATGTCACGCAGAAAGTCACAATGAGTTTGGAATTTCTTCTATAAATAACAATGATGATCACAACTGAAATGCCTTGGCAGATGATTTATTTTCTGGTTTTTTCTCCTCCCCCTGCAAAGTCTCCTTTAGAAGAAATAAAAGTTTTAAATGCACTCTCAAATGTTTGTTCTACAACTTTTTATTTTGTTTTGCAATTGTTGTTGCTGTAAGGCGCCGTCAAGTTGATTATGACCCATGGCAACCCTATGGACAACAGATCTGAACCCTATTCTACCCTGTGCCAGCCTCACACTTCCTAACACATTAGAGCCCACTGTGGCAGTTACTGTCAATTCACCTGGTCAAGGGTCTTCTTGTTTGTCAATCCTCCACCCTTCCAAGCATCGTGTCCCTCTCCAAGGAATATTCCTTTCTAGCAACATGCCTGAAGTATATGAGGCAAGGCCTCATAATCTTTACGTCCAAGGAGCACTCTGGCTGCACCTTCTCCAAGACATATTTATTTGTTCTTTTGGCAATCTAAGAGATAATCAGGACTCTCCTTCAAAACCACAGCTCTAATTTAGACCTGGACTAATATGGACCTCTTCCAATGTGTTGGCCAGACAGCTTTCCTCTAATTTTCTTGGTATAGACTGATGAACACATCTGAGGCTGCATCTGTTAAATGAACCAAGTCAAATGGTATCCCATCAACTCCTGGAGCCTCATTTTTTGCTAATGCTTTCAATGCAGCTTCCACTTCTTCCTTCATTACCATTGGCTCTTGCTCAGATCTACCTGAAATTTTTCAGCGTCAACCAATTCTTTTTGGTACAATGAGTCTGCATATTCCCTCCATCATCATTTGATGCTTTCTGGGTCATTTAATATATAGACCATAGCATCTTTCAATATTGTGACTAAAGGCTTAAATTTGTTTTTCAGTTCTCTCAGCTTGAGAAATTCAGAGGGAGTTCTTCCCTTTTATTCTCCAATTCCAGCTCTCTGAACATCCCATTATATTACTTTGTTTTCTCGAGTGGTCCTTTAAAATGTTCAACTCTATTACTTTGATATATTTTCCCTTTGTTTAGGCTTCTCAACACTCTAGTGTAATTTTCAGTCTCTTCTGACATCCATTTTGGTTTTTTCTTTCTCCTCTGTCATTGTAATGACTTTGTGCTTTCTTCATGGATAATAACCTTGATATCATCCTATGGGACTCATCTGGTCTTTGATCACTGGTGTTTAATGCTTCAAATCTATTCTTAAGATGATTTTGAAATTCAGATGGAACAGATTCAAGATAGCACCTTGGTTATCGTGGACTTATTTTAATTTTCTTCAACATCAATTTGAAATGATATATGAGTAATTGATGGTCTGACCCACAGTCTGCTCCTGGCTTTGTTTTTACTGCTGATACTGAGCTTCTCTAAAGATTCTTTTCATGTTGTTGTTGTTACATGTTATTGAGTCATATGCAACTCATAATTATTCTATGTACTCTAGCTCTGAAGCCTGCTCTGTCCTGAGCCAGTTTTACTGACTCCAACACAGGTACCCCCTAGTTACTTTATCAATCCATCTCGTCCAGGATCTTCATTTTCTGCACTGTCTGCCCATGCTTCTGAGCATGATGTCCTTCTCCAAGGATTGGTCCGTCTTGACTACATGTCCAAATTATGTGAGCTGAAGCTTCAAAATCCAAGCCTCCAAGGAGAAGACCTTTTGGTTTTTTGGCGGTCCATATGGTATGTTCAAGACTTTTCTCCAGCACCACACTCAAAGGCATCTATTCTTCTTCTATCATCCTTAGTTATTATCCAGATCTCTGATGCATAGCAAATAACTGAGAAGACCATGGACTGGATCAGGTGCACCTTAGTCTCTAGACTAACATCACTGCTTCTCAGTACTTTTGAAAGATCCCTGACAGCAGATTTATCTAAGACAATTAGTCTTTAATTTCCTGACTGCTGGTGCCAAGAATGTTGACTATGGATCCAAGCAAGTTTTAACTGTTGACAACCTCAATCTCTTCTCTATCTATCATGGTACTTCTAATTGGCCCAATGGAATCTTTGTCTTCATGATGTTGACCTTTAATCCATATTGAAGACTGCTGTCCTTGACCTTCTGCAGCAACTGCTTTAGGTCCTTTTCAGTTTCAGCAAGCATGGTGTGTCCTCTGAAATAACATAGGTTGTTGATAAGTTCCTCCAAGCTGGATGCCACATTCCTCCTCACAAAGCCCAGACTCCTGAATGATCTGTTCTGCATATAGATTGAAAAGTATGGAGACAGGACATGTCCCTGACACATTTACTTCCTGATTTTGAACCTTGCAGTGTTTCCCTGCTCTGTTCTGAGGACTGCTTCCTGGTCCTCCCATAGATACAGCCAATTCTTTCCATAGATAGAGTCAATCTGATTCCTATGCAGACCATCAGGTGAGATCCATGTGCAAAGTAGTTGTTTGTGTCTTTTAAAAAAAGTATTTGCAATGACTAAAGCATTGAAAATACAAAATTTTATTTCCAGCTTCATTTCTATCACCAAGCTTATATTTCCCAAATACTATTCCTTCTTCACTGTTTCCAACTTTTGCATTCCAGTCATCCATTATCATTACTAACACATCTTGATTGCATGTTTGGTCAATTCCAGACTGCAAGCTTTGGTAAAAATTTTTAATTTCTTATTATTTGGCTCTAGCAGTAGGAGTGTATATTTGAAAATTACGCATTCATCTTTTTACTCTCTCCTTTTTTACTTAATATTTCACATGCACTGATTTGTCAAAGATCTCACCATGATAATATTTTTCTTTAAAAATGTTTAGGCAAAGCAATGTTAGATCAGAATTTATTTTTAAACATGAAGGACTTTCTTTTTCTTAATTTTATTTTATTAATTTTTGTGTGTGTACTGTCAAATCAGATCTGACTGGTATGGGAGGAGATTGCCCCTCCTTCTCCAGCAGAGCATCTGGTAGATTTGAACTGCATACCTCTGGGATTGTAGTGCAGCTTCTTGCCACAAGGCCACCAGAGCTCCCATAGACTAGAATGTTTTTGTTACTTAGTAGAAAATTAGTATCATCAAAAGTAGTGAATAATTTCTAGAAATGTAATGTGACAGAAGATAGTACAGGCTTAGAATTCAATAAACTTAAACATGGATGCTAGCTTTAAATGTATAATAAATATATAACTCCATAGTATATTTAACTTCATTTTTCTATGGAACTGGCATCAAGAAACTATGGTACTGTCACATAGAGGAGTTCCATGCAACATTGAAAAACAATGGAGAATTTGTGAAACTCTGCATAACAGAAAAATCAAAAAGACATTATACTGAGTGAAATAAATCAATAACAAAAAGATAAATATTGTCTAAGACCACTATTACAAAAAGCTGAAGCAAAGTGGTATCCAATTCCTAAACAACATGTCTCTGGAAACTCTATGAACTTTGAGATATGACAATAGTTATAGAAAGGCTTCAGGTCTTTTGTTCATAGGGTCGCTATGAGTCATGCTCTGTTCAACAGCAATCAACAACAACAACAATAACAAAGTAAGGTTTACACACAGAATCATTCCAGTATGGTTACCAGAGAAAGGAAGGAAGAGATAGGGAGTAAAAATTAAGAAGCAGATAACATTTAAGATGTTTGAAAGGGACAGTTATATAGAATAAGGAAATGGATAATCAGACATTATAGATATTGTTATTAATATTATAAAACAAAATGTGTATGAATGATTGATAAATCAATATACTATGTAAATTTTCAATCTACTCACAATAAAAAAACAGAAAACAATACTATAGAAGGGTTCTTATGGTGAGTATAGATGCTGCATCATTTTATAGGGTACATGATAGAGTTTGGAGATAAATTGGAAGTTAAAACTTATCACTATATCCTAAACATCATGAGGGAATTCTGGTGGCTTATTGGTAAGGAGTTTTGCTGTGACGCCAAAGGCAAGTGGTTTGAATCCACCAGTTTCGCTGCAGGAGAAAAATGGGCCATCTCCGGAGGGTCAGCTATGGGTTAGTTCTGACTGGATGGTACTTATCAACAACAACACTAAAAGTCATATGCAACATTTACTCTAAATTAAAACAAAAACTAAAGCCCACTGGTAGGTAATTTTTTAAAAACTTTATGATTTTAAGCACCTGAAATCTTGTATGTCCAAGTGGTATATGAAACAACTTATTAGATTCACAATGCATTTATAAATTACTCTCAAGTAGAGCAAACAATTCTGTCTTAGAGGAAGTGCAACAGAGGTGAACCTTAGATGGCAAAGATTTTGCCTCCTATAGTTTGGGCATGTTACAGGAAGGGCAAGTCCTTGGAAACACATCGAATGGGAAAGGTACAGAGTCAGCAAAAAAGAAGACCCTTAATAGGTAGACTGATGCAGAGATATTAACAAGAGACTCAAGCATATCAGAGATCCCGGGGATGGGGCAGGATAGGGCAAGTTACGTAAGGAACTGCTGTTCACAGATTACTATGAGTTGTAGTTGACTTAAGAGTACTTAACAACAAGTACCACAAAAGGAGCTCTGATGGCCTCCTCTCTGGTGCCTCAAATCCATCAGTGGCTCCTGGCAAAAAGATGGGCAATCTTCCCAAGTGATTTACAATCTCTCAAAAGCTTGCTGGAAGACTGGCTACGAGTCAGTTCTGACATGACAACAATGAATTTGAGTTTTATGTTGCACTAGGTAGGAGGAAGTAACTCGGAAAGTGCTTACCTGGATAAGATGTGATGGCATCGTGATGATACAGGCTGAAAGAGAGGTTCGCAGAAGGCCACGAAGCACATAGAGGAACTTGGTTAGACTGTGGCTGTTGTCACTGTTTTCCACACAACAAATGTCATCTCCCCACAAAGGTGAACCAAGATTCTGAATTCCTATTCTTAAAATATTTTTCTGTTTTTTCTGAAAGAAAGAAAGAGTAAACATAGTAAGTTTTATTAACTAGTTAATATCCCTTTGTTTATGATCAGTGAAAGTCAACTTGATAAAGGTCTGTTTATAAGTCTGTGACATTGTAAAATGTATTAAAATCATTCAATAGAAAGCAAATATTTTCATTTATAAAGGTATAAAATATTTGTTGTTGGTTGCTAAATACTGTCAAGTATGACTCTGTGACCCTATGAATGATAATTTGAACTCTGTCGTATCCTGTGCCATCCTCACAATCTTTGACATATTTGAGCCCATTGCTGCCATCACTCTGTCAATCCATCAACCCATTGGGGGTCTTCCTTTCTTTTGCCAGCCCACCACCTTTTGAAGCATGATGTCCTTCTTGAAGGAATGGCCCTCTTAACAACATGTCCAAAGTATGTGAGACGAAGCTTTATCACTTTTCCTTCCAAGGAATAGTCGGGCTGCACCTTCTCCAAGACATTTCTTTGTTCTTTTGACAGTCTGGAAGATTCAGCACTCTTCTCCAACACCACATTCTTCTGTCATCCTTATTCATTGTCTAGCTCTCAGATGAATAGCAACTGGATGAAAAGATCACAGCCTGAATCAGGCACAACTTTGTCCTCAAACTGACATCATTGCTTCTCAATATTTTGGAAAGGTTGTTGACTGCCCATTTTACCAGTATAATATATCTCCTGATGTTCAGATTGGTGATATCAAAGGTTTTGACTGTGGATCCAAGTAGAATGAAGCCACTAATAAAAAAATAAGTGAGTTAATTTTTTCTGGTTTGAAATATTAAGGAGTATCACAAGCTTCAATCTTTTGTGGTTTTTAAAAACAATTTTAGTATTAACACTTTAAATGCAGTATCTGTTCCTTGGAGATTTTCTTACATTAAGCTTACAGAAAGCTATATAGCATAATGTGCTCCAGATTATTTTTAATATTTTATTGTGTTTTATATATGATGGTTTATACAGAAAATTAGGTTCTGACTAAACAAATTTTAAACAACTTGCTCTGTGACATTGGTTACAATTTTCACATTTCAGCTTTCAAATTATTTCTGGTCTGTTTGCTTTGTTTCCATTGATAAAGCTTCCTGAACCATATATCTTCTCATCTCCATACCCTCTTTTATTTTATGGTAAATGTTGACCTCATATAGTTGATTTGTCAGCACATTACTCACGATGAGAACAGTAACTTTATGGCAATCTAGTAATTTGCTGTAAGCTGACCCACAGAAACATCTTCAGTTCCAAGGTCAAAGGTACCATAGGAAGCCAGTCTCAGGGTTTTTCTATTCTCTTGTTCCAGTTGTCTTGATCTTTTTTAGGAATTAGAATTTTGCTCTACATTTTTCTCTCATTCTATTTAAGTCTTTTGATTGCACTCTGGTTAAAATGGTGGATGGTGATAGCGGAGTATCATCTACTTTTTCTGGCCTCAGGTTAGAATAGGCTATGGTTTCTGGGGGCTATTAGTCCAGTGGACTAATTAATTTCTTCATGGAGTTTTTGGTTTCTTTCATTCTTTTGTGCTTTATATAAACAGAGATCAATAGATTTCTTTTAGATGGTGACTCTCAAACTTTCAAGACCCTAGAAATCATTCACTAAATTAGAATGTAGAACAATATCTTTTTTGAACTATGTTATGCCATCTGACCAAGTTGATCTATAAGACTATAATCCTAAGCCTATACTCCACTAAACTAATCCTATAAACTGTTTAAATCTATCTATCCAGCCTATATAACAATGCTGCTGGGTCTTTTCTTATACATGTGGACATATATACAGACACATAAATATCTTTCTCTCTATCTGTGTCTACAGATACAGATATACATGCATATACATTTACTCATATATGGCTTCTTACACATTTTTGGCTGTTATTACTATTGTTGCAAAATTTTATATGTTAGCGTATTTACAGAAATTGTATTGTTCTTCTTGTGTACTTCTTGGTGTCTGTGTACTGGTTAAGAAATCACTTATAATTAATATTGTCTTTTCTATCACCATAAGTTTTAATTGTCCACTAACCACTCTCTCTAACTTCCCCCTCTATTCCTGGTAACCACCCAAGAGCATTACATTCTGTGTAAATATCTATTTTGGACTTTTAAAACTAGTGGGACCATGAAACATTCATCCACTAGGAATGACTTATTTCACATAGCACAATATCCTCTAAATTCACAAGTTTTAAGAATTTTGCAGACTTATTATTTTTAGTTATATAGTATTCCATATATATGTACCAAGATTTGTTTATTGATTCATCCACTGAGTGGCACTTGGATTGCTCCCATTAATTTGTTCTTGAACAATGCTACAATGATCATGTTGCTGTTGTTGAGTAGCAATGAGCTGGAACCAACCCTCAGCAGACCTTCTAGTGAGTTTTCAGAGAAAGTAAATCACATAGGAGGAGACTGCCCATCTTTCTCAGAGCAGCTGGGGGGTTTAAACCATGTACTTTTGCACCAGCAGCACAATTCCTTACCACAATGACCACAGGCGTATATATATCAATTTGTGTCACTGCTTTTATATTTTATGTTTCTTGGGTATATGTGTTGTTATTGTTATGTGCCGTTGAGTTGCCTGCGACTCATAGCGACCCTATGTACAACATAAACCATGCTCTGTCCTGTGCCAATCTCACTGTCTCCGACACACCTACCCCCATTATCCCAGTCACTGAATCAATCCACTTCATAGAGGGCTTCCTCTCCTGTGCTGTCCTTTCACTCTCCTTAGCATGACGTCCTTCTCCAAAGACTGGGCCCTCTTTGCAACATGTCCAAAATATGTCAGAAGAAGCGTCAGAACCCTTGCCTCCAAGGAGAAGCCTGATTTAACCCTCTCTAGGGTTAACCTGTTCATTTTCTTAGCAGTCCGTGTATATTCAATACTTTTCTCCAATACCGCAGTTCAAAGGCATCAATTCTCCTATTCTCCCTAGTCATTGTCCAGCTCTCTGATACATAGCAAGTGACTGAAAAGACCATGGCCTGTTTCAGGCACACCTTAGTCTCCAGAGTGACACCATTGCTCTTTAGTTCTTTGGAGAGGTCCCTAACAGCAGACTTTCCCATAACAATATGTCTTTTAATTTCCTAGCGGCTGGTATGTATATAAATCAGATGGATTACATCTGAGGAAAGAACCACTAGAGAAGCTCAATATCAGCTGTGAATACTAAGCTGGTGCTGATTGTGGAACAGACCACCAACTACTCAGATGCAAGTTCAAGCTGAAGCTAAGGAAAATTAAATCAAATCCATGGGAACCAAAATATGATGTTTAGTCTATCCCACTGGAATTTCAGAATCATCTCAGGAACAGGTTTGAGGCCTTGAAAACCAATGAGTGAAAACCAGATGAGTTGTGGGAAGATATTAAGAGTATCATCCAAGAAGAGTACAGAAGATCATTACAAAGACAGAGGAGGAAGAAAAGACCAAAATGGATGTCAGAAGAGACTCTGAATATTGCACTAAAGTGCAGAGAAGCCAAAGCAGAGGGAAGAAGTCAAGGCATTAAAGAGCTGAACAGAAGATTTCAAAAGGCCACATGGGAAGACAAAGTAAAATATTACAATGGAATGTGCAAGGAGCTGGAGTTAGAAAATCAAAAGGGCTGAACTTGTTCAGCATTTCTTAAGCTCAAGGAACTGAAGAACAAATTCAAACCTCGAGTTGGTGATGGTATTAAAAAAATCATAAAGCAGCGAATATTAGCATGGTTATAGAGATATTGGAACTATTAAATGCAGCTGGTGAGATTATAAAATGGTATGGCCACAATGGAAAACAAAAAACATGACACAACCTCAAAAAATTATACTACTACTTATACCCACACATCTAGGGCAGAATATGTTGGGTGAAATACATCAATTCGTATACCATCAATTCCTCGGGCCTTATTTTTTTGCCACTTCTTTCAAAGCAGCTTAAACTTCTTCCTTCACCACCACAGACTCTTGCTTTCTTCTTTGTCTGCCAATGCCTTTCAGGACAGTGACTCTGCATATTCTTTCCATCATCTTTTAATACTTCCTGGATCATTTAATATTCTGCCCAAAGCATTCTTCAGTATAGCAACTCATTGGTGTTCAAGGCCTCAAATCTGTTCCTGAGATGATTCTGAAATTCCAGTGGGATAGCCTAAATGTCATATTTTGGTTCCCATGGATTTGATTTAATTTTCCTTAGATTCAGCTGAATAAGTATGGTGTAAGGATACAACATGACACACAGTTTTCTTGATGTTAAACCACACCTTAAGGTGCTGTGGTGATGATGTGGCTAAATACCAGGTACTAACCAAAAGGCTGGGTGTTAAAACCCAGAAGCTGTTCAGTGGGATAAATATGGACAATTTGATTCTATAGATTCACAATTAAAACTGAATTTCGTCGAGTTGGAACCAACTCATAACTGACCTCCAGTGAGTTTTTCAAAGTTTTAAATCACACAGAAGGAGAATGTCCTTCTCCCAAGAAGCAGCTGATGTATTTGAACTATTAGCCTTTAGATTGTAAGTGAAACTCTTTATTCACCAGCGTTCCCTTGATCCCCAATGGGATCCATTAAGTCAAAAGAGGCTCCATGGCAGTGACTTTAAATTTGTCCTTGTTATATTAAAATGGTTCCTTCTTGGTTTACATACAAGTTCCACATAAACACAACTAAGCAATCTGGAATTTCCATTCTTTGCAATGCTATCTATAATTCGTTAAGAGACACAGTTGCATGCCTTGCATCATCAATAAAGATAGGAAAAAGGAAAACATCTCTCCAGTATTTATCTCTGTGTATTCCTTCCATCTTCTTCTGATGTTTCCTATGTTGGTCAATATTTTCTATAACTATTGTTGTTAGGTGCCATCAGGTCAGCACAAATGGACAACAACTCTATGAACAACAGGATAAGATTTTGTCCAATCTTGTGCCATTCTCATAATCTCCACTGTGT